CCCCACAGAGTGTCTCTGGTTCATAGTTGTTTGTTGATTTTGATTTTTACTTTCTTATAGCTATTCTTTTTCCTGGTCCCTTATTTAAGTTTTCTAGATTCCTGCTATGAGTGAGACCATCCGGTATTTTTCTTTTTCTTTCTGGCTTATTTCGCTGAGCATGATCCCTTCCAGCGCCATCCATGTTGCTGCAAATTGCATGTGTTTATCTTTTTTGAATGCTGAGTAATATTCCATGGTGTATATGTACCACATCTTCTTGATCCAGTCTAGATCACTATTTTATAGGTGAGAAAACTTAAGATCAAAGAGGTCATTGAGGGCCTCCCCGGTGGCGCAGCGGTTGAGCGCTGGGTTGCGAAGCTGCCCGCGGCCTCTGCGGCGCCGGTTCGATCCCCGGCTGCTCCCCGGCCACCGGAGGAGGATCCCACATGGTGCGCAGACCTCTCCTGCCACCCGCTGCTCCCCTCAGCAGTGTACTTCGGTCCTTCTGCCTGCTCTGCTCCCCACTCTGGCTCTGGTGAATTCTCTCACCCTCCCGCGCTTCTGACTGTACCCAGTGCATGTATAAACAAAACAAACAAACAAATATAATTAATAAATAAACATGCCTCTATAAAAAAAAAAAAAAAAAAGGTCATTGAACCTCTTTGATTTTTCACTCCTTTGAAGATATCTACTATTTTGTGAATTCAGCATCCCTTCTAAGCACTGCTGCTCCCTTCTCCATCCATATGGCTGTCATGGGAACAATCATGTTATGACTCCATCTCCTGGCTCTGAACCTCTTCCATGAAGTTTTGTGGGTAGGGATTACAAGCACATTGGTTCAAGGTATGTTTATTTGTGTAACAGTAACACGATAGGTTAAGAATTGTTGGTAGCTGATTTACTGCCACAATGACCACAGATAGAAGAAATGGCAACATGCCTGTGAGTTCCTCTTTGATAATATGTTCTTTGAGTTAAAGTATTGAAACACTTAAGTATTTGCTGAGATTCTACTTTGTTGTCAGTCACTTGCAGCCCCCAGAAGTCCTAACTTCTGCTGACTACTGGCCATTATGATCACAACAAAGGAAGGTAATGGCTTTGGGTTGATTTACTCAAAGTCTGCTTTACACTAATCCCCCAAGAGTCTTTCTCTAGTTTCTTCCTTCCAGATCACAAGCACATCTGAAAAACAAATCTTAGTAAAAATAAATTGCTTTGAAAGAGTCAGATTAATTTAAACAGCAAGTCATCTTGAAAGAAACTGAAAATTAGCTTGTTTTATTGTTTATTTTAAAGATTTATTTATTTTTATACAAGAACCGGGGTACAGGCCAGATGCATGGGAGGGTGAGAGAATTCACCAGAGACAGAACGGGGAACAGAACAGGCAGACTGACGAAATACACTGCTGAGGGGAGCAGTGGGTGAGACAGGAGAGGTCTGCTTCGCCATGTGGGATTCTCACTGGCTGGCCAGGATCGAACCAGCGCTGCAGAGGCTGTGGACAGTTTCACAGTGCTGCGCTCAACTGCCTGCGCCACCAGTGAGGCCCTAGCTTGTTTTATTGTTCACTAACTATATTGACTTCTACTCAGTCATCTTTATTTATTAAAGAGTTGAATCATATGATACATTTCCCAACATTTTATCACATGTCTGGAAAGGGGAAAGGAAGATTTCTAAAGCATGTATTGGAAATGTTCTCTATTGCAGTGATTAGTGAAAGAAAAAGTTTACTGTTACTGGTAGGGCATACTTAAGGGGGTCTTGAGACCCTGGAACAGAAAGAGATTTGGGATTGTGTTGTCCCTTTGTCACTATTGATACCTCAGTGTGGAAGCTGTGGCAAGCTCTATTAACTTGCCTTTGGCTGTCACAGTCACAGCATAGCCCATGTGGGTGACTATAAAGTCCCTCTATCTGCTACTAAGAAGTTGTCTTTGAGCACCTCTTCAGTCTCAGCAGAGTTGAAAACTCCCCATATTCATGCATGGTTAATTATGGTTCTATACTATGTGACCACCTCAACCTACATGCTTTTACATGAGTGACAATTTGCTTGGGGGCTTTCTTTGTCAAAGAAAAAAAAAAATGACTTAATCCAACCCAACAGAAAGAACATCTTAACAATAGCTTAATACTTTAAAAACACTGATCAGTGACTGGATTAGCATCAACACTGGAGAAGTTTCCTAGTAAAATATGAAGAAACTGGGTCTCCCGGTGGTGCAAGGGGTTAAGCGTCAGCACTATGAAGCAATCTGCAGCTACTGCAGCAGGACTTCAATCCCAGGCCAGGGAGGTGACCCACCTGGCACAGCAGACCTCTCCTGCCTTGCCCGCTGCTCCCTCAGTAGTGTATTTCAGTAGACCCACCTCTTCTGCTCCCCATTGTCTCTGGTGAATCCTCTCATCCCCTGCACCTCTGATTTATACCCCAGTCCTTGCATGCATAAATAAATAAATCTTTAAAAAATAAAATTTCAAACCAAGTGTTTGAATGACTAAATCAGTCCACGAAAACAATTTATCTTTGGTCCTCAAACATAAACTTACTTATTACCTAGAAACATTTTCTTCTGTCTAATCCAAATCATGCTTGCTTTGTGCTTACCCATTTTTAATACTTTAGCTCATAGAGAATGGCTACCTGGCTTTTCTTTATTGTCCTGTTTCATCTTGTTAGTTTTCCCGTATTGATTCTAGTTTTTATTCTCTAGTTACTTTTAATTTGAAAATAAAAATAGGAAAACAGTTTCTACTGGTTTAGTATATATTCACCAAGCTGATAAAAATGACATTTCCCACATAGACTTAGGTGGGAACAAAGTTATTACAAATTCTTTAACTTGTAGATTACCGTGTAACATAGGATGTTGCCCTTTGTCCTTGCATTTACCCTCATTGTCCCAGCTCTCCCTGGGTGAGTTACCTGAGGAGGGAGCATCATGAATGCATATTACAAACATGATGTGTGTGTGTGTGTGTGTGTTTTTATGTGTGTGTTTATATGTGTGTGTAAAGGCAGATTAAAGAAAAATGTCTCCATGGTAATGTTATGTAAGGCCAGACCCCCCAAAACAGGATAAACAGGGTTCTTTAAGCTGAGGGCTAGTCTGCATTCTGGGAGCAGGCCAGGACTATGGCCTTGCTGATGGGAAAAGAGTCTGGGTCTGTGATATGTGTGATGATGGGGGCTGGGCCCCCCTCCAGGCACAAGGAGGACTAGAGATAGACCTAAAAATGGCTTGGCAGGCATGAGGCCAAGCAAGTTGGGGTCATTTTTTTTTCTCTTCTTTTCCTCCCAGGTTTCTTTATACTCTTCTGAGCTGACATCTCAACAGTTCCAAGATGGGGAGAAAGACCTGATGACCGGTGTAGGTGACCTTTGGGTGCTCTCCCCACTTCTACTCTGTGATCTTTGCATATAGTGGAAGGGCTGCTTGTTAAACAACTAAAAGACAAGCTTTACAGCCCCTTCAGTGCTCAGAATTGCCTTAACTATGAAAATATCAAATTCTGACATTGCTAGGCATGACCACTTAGCTTTGAACATTTATAAACTAAAAATATAACAATTTCCTTGAGTTAAAACACTGTTATCGTCTTGTTATTTATAATTCAGAATCAAGAAAGTAATGGGTTTAATGGTGTTTTCTGTCAGGCAGAAATAAAACAACATGAAGTCTTTAGGAATTGCAATCTCCTTACTTGGTGCATAGATTAGAAAGGGGTTGGAAAGCCAAAAGTGTAGCATTCCCATATATATTTTTTTTTTTTAAGATTTATTTATTTATACAAGCACTGGGTACAGTCAGAAGCGCGGGAGGGTGAGAGAATTCACCAGAGCCAGAGCGGGGAGCAGAGCAGGCAGAAGGACCGAAGTACACTGCTGAGGGGAGCAGCGGGCCGCAGGAGAGGTCTGCGCGCCATGTGAGACCCTCCTCTGGTGGCCGGGGAGCAGCTGGGGATCGAACTGGTGCTGCAGAGGCTGCGGGCAGCATCGCAACCCAGCGCTCAACCGCTGCGCCACCAGGGAGGCCCAGCATTCCCATATTTTCCACAATTTTGGACCTAGAGAAGAAATAATTCTCTTCTAATCAGCAAGGACACATTTATCCTTAACTTGTCGATGGATCTCTAAATCATTGGTGTAGCCCTGAAAATTTATTGATGATCCATTGTAATAAAGTTCCTTGATGCTCTTTCTACCAGAGAATTAAAGTAATCCAGCTTTTTGAAGGCATGCAATAGAATTGACTGCATTTCTGTGTGGTTCAGATAGAGTGTAAAGTCACGACTGCAGTTAGCTGGGTCAAAGGAGGTGTCCACCAGCAGACATTTAGGCCAAGTGACAAAGCTCAGCTAAAATCTGGATGCCCACAAAGGCCAGACTTAGCCTTCCATTAAGGAACTGCTTATAAGAAACTGGATCAGGACAAAGATTGAAAGAAAGAAAGCTTGAATTACAATACTCAATATTACTGCAACATCCTACAAAATCAGACTATAGTTTTTGTTCACTTTCTCTTTATAGCTGAAAATGCCTGAAGTTTCCTCATTAGAGGCAGGAGCAGATGCCCAAATGTTGTATTCTCTGACAATTTCCATCATGACTCCATCCAAGTTTATGGAACAAGGCTGCCACGGTAAGGTTATATGTGTATGGATTCTTATACATATATGCAGTGTTGCCACTTTCCTTTGCATAACCAAAAGTACCCTGAATGTCCACAGGGAAGTATAATTCAGCATCTGGCAGGTCAACTCCAATGCCCTCCCTTATTTATTGTCTGTCTCTGCCTCATTTTTTCTCTCATACTTAAGTTCACTAAGTTATAAGTGTCTGAAGTCATTCTTGGCGAATGATGCTGGACCACTCTGAAAATTTGTGGCTGAGATCTGGACCCTCGTCATCACCACGCACTTTGTCACTGAGACAGGGTAACCCATGGTTACTGAGCTCAGATCAGTTAAGGGGCAGAGAGCCTCCCCTCCTTGCTGCTATATAAAAAGAGACCCGGCAAAGGGCCCCTAGCTGCTTCTAGCTCTCAGCCTGGGCGAAGGTGTGGGAAGGAAAAGCAGCTGCAAAGGCAAGGCCAACATGTCTCCTACCTTCAAACTTCAGTGTCACTTCATTCTGATCTTCCTGATGGCTCTAAGAGGGGACGGCCGGTACCTAGAGGTGAGCGCTCCCAAAATCGACCCTTCAATACCATCTCTGTCCAGTGTTCAGCCACAGTGAATGGGCAAGCTGCCTCTGCCTCAGCCTTTGTTGGGGTTAGCTCTTTCTTCCCTCTCTTGCATCATCCCCTCCCCCCCCCTACACTGACCTTTCTCCCTGCTTCTCCTCCTCGCCTCTGACCCCTCGGGATAGCTCTTCTGATGGAAAGGGTGGAAGACTTTCTTGTCTTCTGTCCCAGGAGACGTTGATCCCATTATTCTCTTTCCTGCGGGGCAGGTAGGGTGTCCTGTTCCTGGTGCCCTTTTCCACCCCTTGAACTATTCTGGACTGACCCATTTTCCTTGCCAGCTGCGGGAAGCAGTAGACCACGACCCTTTCCTGCTCTTCAGCGCCAACTTGAAGCGGGAGCTGGCTGGGGAGCAGTTGTACCGCCGCGCTCTGCGTGAGTAGGAGCTGCCGGCTGGCGCCAGCAGGCAGCGGGGAGTTGGCGGAGATTGGGGCTCCAGGGCATCATCAGGAAAGGGATGGTCAGGTCAGGGCCGCAGCCTGCGCTATTCCTATCGCTGAGTCCCTCCCAGGAAGCACTATGGGGCGGGCGAGGTGGGGCGACTTGCCCCGCAGTGTGGAAGCCAGGGCAGCCGAAGTCGGGAACCCCGGGGCTGCAGACGCAGGAAATAGGGTGTGTGGAGAGGGTGTGGAGGGGGCTGCTGGGATCCGGCGCCAAGGTGGCTGCAGCCCGGGATGCCTGGCCCGCTGCCCTCCCCCAGGGTGCCTGGATATGCTGAGCCTGCAGGGCCAGTTCACCTTCACCGCGGACCGGCCGCAGCTGCACTGTGCCGCCTTCTTCATCAGTGAGCCCGAGGAGTTCATCACCATCCACTACGACCAGGTCTCCATCGACTGTGAGGGCGGGGACTTCCTAAAGGTAAGGCACCTGGTCTGATCTGCTCCAGACGGGTTGGCAGGTGGGGGAGCACGGGAGGGAAAATCGGCTGGGGCACAGCACCCAGCTTGGGACCGCGGAGCGTGGCTGGTGACACCTGTAATTGGAGTCTGCTGGTGCAGAAGTGGGAGAGGTGCGCTTAGGAACCCGCACACGCTGGGGAACTTACCCCAACCGCAAGACCTGGCCCGCACACATGCCTCTGCAGCTGCTGGGGCGTAAATCCCCTCTGTGCGCTCTCGGAACTTCCTAAGACTTAAACTCAGTGTGCACCTGCTGTGTTGCGATTTGGTACTGAGGGGAAATAATACAAACTAGCAGGAGCGCTGGGCACAGGAATGTCGGTGGATTCTGGTTAGAAGACCGGTCCCACATGTCTGAGATCCGGGACCGCCTGGCTCCTGCTGCTTCCGGCTGTTTGGCTGTTTGAACAGCAGTTCCAGGTTCTCAGACACTGCCGCCAAAGCCTGGGTGACCCGAGTTTGGAGTAGCAGAGCGCTGACAGCTGAGCGGGATCTAGTCTGAGGGAGAAGGGGCAGGAGGGCAGGAGGACAAGCCCCCAACCTCAGGACACGCCCACTCCCAGCCTCTTCCCACGTCTAACAGGTCAGCTTGGATGCCTTATGGAACTCTGCAGTCCAATTAAAATGACTGTGATTTAAATCTCCAGACTGGAGATTATTTGGAACCTGTCGAGTGTGGTGGAAGAGGACAGCTGTGGTGAAATAATTAGCAGTTGGGTTGGTGGTAATTTTGCAAATGTGGACTAGGTTGGACTCATTAAATGGGAGACCTGTGGTGACTGAGGGAGTAACACAGATGCTCACCTTTTGTCCAGCTGCAAACTTTCACAACGCCTGAGTGGCTTGCAAGAACTCCTGGACAGAGGTGTTATTATATTAATATATAATAACAAGAGAAAAACAGGTGTAGATAGTGATTGGCAGGTAAACTTGCTGCTCCGTTGTTTATTTTTTTACGATCTAATTTTGAGATTTTTTCTGGTTCATATTTCATTAAGTAAAGAGAGGAACTGACGCTCAAATTATGTTTCTGTTACATTCTTTTGAAGGAGGGATGTGTGGAAAATATGACCAAATTAAAATATGTATTATCTGTGATTTTATTTACCAAGATGGCTGAAATGATAAAAGAAAGCACATGAAAGTTTAATATTCTGGAAACTTGAAGGTTTATAAAGGAAAGAAAGCAATAATCATCATCAAAATATATACAAATGCAAAGCGAATGGGCAGGGAGTATAAATTGTCAATTCCTCACTTAAAACTGAAGGCCCATTTCTGGATTTCCCCAGCCCCCCTTTCAACACACCTATGACCACAGGAGTTGATGGGTATGATCAGCTGTGTCTGTATGTTTTTTGTTTGAAGGTTTTTGATGGTTGGATTCTTAAGGGGGAGACATTCCCCAGTTCCCAGGATCATCCTCTCCCCACAACTGAGCGCTACATAGATTTCTGCGAGAGTGGGCTTAGTGGAAGAAGCATCAAATCCTCCCAGAACGTGGCCATGATCTTCTTCCGAATTCATGAACCAGGAAATGGATTCACATTAACCATAAAAACAGATCCCAACCTGTTTCGTAAGTGGACTCCTGTCTTCTGAGTTTGATCACAGGACTTGTGGGGGAGTGTCAGATCTGCTCTTCAAAGTAGCATTATTGCAGACAAGAAACTTGAAGTGAGGAATGATTTGAATGGGAATTCTTTTTTCGTTATAAAAATCAAATCAGTTTTTCATTTTTCCCAGAGTAGGTAGGGTACTAATTTATGATGGGTAGAATTCTATCTTTTCTCCAATCTTACTCTGATCTCCAGAGGTACCACAATGCATTCAGTGACAAATTTTAATCCCTCTTAGTCATTTTGTTGATCTGGGATAAACTTGAGAGATTAGATATGAAGTTGCAGTCTTAGAGATATTTAGGTAAAGGCTGAAAGACTGCATAGCTGGGATGTGGTTGAAGGATTTCATGCCCTGAACAGAGGATTGGACTAGAGGACCTTAACCTTGCCTTCCGACCTTGAGTCCACCACTTCCATTGAGTTTATTTCTGATAGATACAAACATAGCTGCTCTAAAACTAATGATTTAGTCCTATATAACATGTTGGCTTATTATTCTTTCCCTTAAGGAGAAACATCTTTTCAGAAAATCGGGAAAAGAAAACAAGTTACTCATATTTGGTTGCAGACAATAGTATTATATTAGCACTTCCTGTGGTCAAGAATGGGGCTTTATCCACCAGAGAATACTGTACAGATTGACCTTATGATTTTTGTTTGTTATTTTAATTTTTGAAAGACCCTCCCCTCTCCCCACCCTCTACCCCCAACCCCACAAGGTTGTTTCTGAGGAGTGCAGCGAAATAATCCTAAGGGACAAAGTGAAATATTTCTCCTATGTTGTGTTTGGTTAGGAACCAGTTACCATCTATAATCATCCAGGAATGTCAGTTCTATGTTGTTGAAAATAAAGAAAACAAGAGGTATTTCTGACCTGCTCCGGTCAATCAGAAACTTTTGTCCCATAATTGGTCAAAAAAAAAAAAAAGTAACTCAGATGATTCTAGTTGCAGAGCTGAAACAATAAATATATTGTAAATCCAGACTTTAGCTTCAAAACAAACAAACAAATAATCAGAAATTCTTGGAAGTAAATTTAACATTAAATATTAAAATAATACCTTTTTGTCAATTTATCACTTACAGACATAAGTTGGCTTTCTCTTTTTTTTCTCAACCAACTTTGTGTTACTTTAATATTTACTTCTTTCACTATTTAAAAAATTAACATTATGGCTACAAATGCAATAAATGAAGGCTTCAGGCAGATAGGTTTAAGCTCTGGCCTCACTTTTATGCCTAGATTCTTTCATATACCTAGCTTGAACTTGGACCCTCCTTAACTGGAGTGTTCCTAGAACTGCAACTGCTAGTATTATTTGATTATTGATTTATGCATTTGATTGTTATAAACAAGAAACCCCTAGATTATGATGTCCCCATATAGCATAGGATCTCTTGGCCATATCCATATACCATTGGCAATTTTTATTCCCAACACTTTCCTATCTCCAAAGGCTTTTGTGATATGTCGTCCAGGTTGCAAGACCCTAGAACATGAATAGGAGCCTAGAATAAGGATAGGATAAATGCTTATAAACACCCAGCATACCAAAGTAGTGAAAATGTGCTGTTGTTTTTCTTCAAAGCCTGCAATGTCATTTCCCAGACACCAAATGGAAGGTTTACCCTGATAGTTCCACATCAGCACCGAAACTGCAGCTTCTCCATAATTTATCCAGTGGTGATCAAAATATCTGATCTTACCTTGGGGCACTTAAATGGTCTTCAGTTAAAGGTGAGTGGCTTCTTTGCTTCCCAATCATTTCCTAAAGCTTCGGCTTTCTCAGAGTAAAAGCAATTACACAGCGCAAACATGCACATTACCAAGTTGGAGAAATTATGTCCTTCTGTCTGTGACATCTCGCTTGGCTGCCCTTGTTGCTGTAACTATCCCCTCTTTTATTTCAGTTATGCTGCAAGTTGTATACTCAGGTGCCCTTTCTGAACACTTGAATATATTTCTTGTGATGTAAGACGTGTTTTCAACTGGGAAACTTGTGGCATATAATTACAATTGAACTCTCTTGTACTTGCCTCTTTTACAAAAATTCTCTCCTAGCAGAACCTAGTGAGTCATCTACACAGCTGTTTTTCTGATTATTGGAATTTTCTTTTGACATGAAGGAAGTATCTCATTGACAGAAGTGTTATGAAGAAATGCTAAGTGTAGCATAAAATACAAAATTGGATTTTTATATTGCAAATACAGTAAAGTTTGGAAGAGTTTTGTGCAATTACATTTAATTCAATACATTTTGCATCAAAGTGTTAGCTACGAATCCCCATCAACTTGTTTTCCCATGGACCTGAAATGAATGTGGCCACATTGCTTACACTGGTAGCTCTTCTCTCTGAGTCATCCTCACTTCCTTTTACTTTCTCAAATGCCAAGGTTATGACAGCTCATGTATTTGCTGGCACTAAACAGTCATAGTTTCTAATCAGACAGATTTTGGTGAAAACCGAATCAATCTCCTTTAAGCCCTAAATTCATGAGCTAGTGCCTTTTTTTTTTTAATTGGACCTTTTCAGAAGAGTAATCCTTGCAAAACACCAGGATAGGTGGGTATCTTTAGCATAGCCTTATTCGCTTAAGATTGTTTATATGTCAATCTTATGTATGACATAGAAGATGGCAAGTGTGATAACAGACTGAGAGGTCTGCACTTTAGTTAATCCTGGCTCTGAGGAGGAATCTTGATATTTTTCTTTAAGAAAAGTAAAGTGTGTTGCATCCTGGGCATCTATTTCTTTACAAAATATTTTTTGAGTACCTACCATGTGTAAGGCATTGTTCTTGATGCTGGAAATCAGTCATGAATAAAACAGGTCCTGCTCATACAGGAGAGATGAAACAGGCAAAAGGTTACATGTTACAAACCGTGGTCAGTGCCCTACAGAAAATGGAACAACGTAGTGTGACAGACCGTGCTGGGGAGAAGGGAGCAGAGGAAGCCACAGGGAGCTACTTGAAATGAAGTGGTCAGGAAGGAAACCTTGGAGAAGGAGATATTTAAAGTGAGACTTGAGTGAGAGAAAAGGAGTCAGCGGCCAAGGGAATATCTGGGAACAAAAGGAGTAGTAGGGCAGAGGCTCAGAGATAGGAGTTGGCTTCCTGAATTTGATTTGATTTTTTTTAAGATTTATTTTGTTTGTTTATGCATACAAGAGCTGGGGTGTAGGCCAGAGGTGTAGGGAATGAGAGGATTCATCAGAGACAGAGTGGGGAGCAGAACAGGTGGATCTACTGAAAGACACAGCTGAGGGGAGCAGCAGGAGAGACAGGAGAGGTCTGCTTGCCATGTGGGTCACCTCCCTGGCTGGGGTTGGAACTTGTGCCACAGTGACTGGCAATAGCTTCATAGTGCCGAGACTTAACCCCTTGCACCACCAGGGAGGGCTGGCTTCCTGGATTTTAGTAATGGGAAGAAGGGGAGGCAGAGGCAGAGTGGTCGGACAGCATCTGGTGTTTCGGGCCAGGGCATGAGAGTCCACAGCCCATATTAAGTAGTTTGAGTTTATTCTAAGTGGAATAAAATCACTGGCAGCGTTCAGGCAGGAGAGCATCCTGATCTGACTTAAACTGCCTGACGGTGGTTCTGGCTTTCAGGAGGGGAGTGGGCAGCAGGGCCCAGGGTTCTTCTAGGGGGCCTCATGGTCTGGGTGAGAGATGGTTGTGTCCAGGCTGTCAACTAACAAGAAGTCTAAGCAGTTCTTATAGAGAAGCTGAATCTCAGAGATTTCTCAGCCCAACTCAGGTTCTGCCACTGGGGTTAAGAATAGCTGAGAGATTGGGAAGAGGAGAGAGAAGTCAGTGAACAACAAGGAATAGGTGCCCCCAACTTTCTTCTTTCCTTCTTTGGTTCCCTCATCTTGGGGAGAGGCTCCACTTCTCCCCAACATCCTCATTTCCCATCTTTCTTTCCTGAACCTACCTTTTTCCCTTTACCAGCTTCCGCTGAAATTCAGAACCTATAGAACCAATTAAGTTTAGTCTTATGAGATGTTGCCCCTGCACTATCTCTGCTCAAGGGAAAGGCAATTAAGTGTTTTATCCTTATCTCTAAATGGCTTATCCAGCTCTTCATACAAGAACAAGAGCCCTGTACACAGTGGGGTTAATTACCTCTATATTTCATCATTTGATGAAATGATATAAAAAACAGCTAAGCTGGTATAGAACCCAAAGCACAGAAGGTGCTTTTAAAATATATGTCCCTACCTGCTACTTTTCATCAAACAGTTGCTATTTTAGTATTTTCTAAATTGTTGTTTAGTTTCTGTTACATTTCAATGTCTTCTAAATGTTTGAACGTGCGTATTTAAAGTTCCCTGTTTTAGACATTAGTCCCTATGTGGCAGGGTCTCTCTGATTAATCCAAGCCCCTTGCCACATTCTATTATGTCTTTGTTTTTTTAAGATTTATTTATTAATGCATATAAGAACTGGGGTGTAGGCCAGAGTTGCCAGGATGAGAGGATTCACCAGAGACTGAGTGGGGAGCAGAACAGGCAGATCTACTGAAATACACTGCTGAAGGGAGCAGTGGGTGAGACAGGAGAGGTCTACTGCACCATGTGGGTAGCTCCTTGGCTGGCTGGGGATTGAACTCTAGCTGTAGTGGCTTGTAGTAGCTTGATAGCTCTGTGTCTTTAACCCCTGAGCCACCAGGCAGGCCCCTCCATTAGATCTTCTTCCATGAAGACTCAAGACAAAATTGGCTATGTAGTTAAAAGGGGCAAAATGAAAATGTGGGGGCCCTTATTTTATAATTAAGAATTTCAAGATGGCGCAGCAGGTTGATTGAGGCACTGTAAAGCTGTCCGCAGCCTCTGCAGTGCGGGTTTGATCCCCCGCCAGGGAGATACCCACATGGCACGGCAGACCTCTCCTGTTGCACCCGTTGCTCCCCTCAGCAGTGTTTTCGGTCCGTCTGCCTGTTCTGCTCCCCACTCTCTGGTAAATTTTCTCACCCTCCTGCGCCTCTGGCCTGTACCCCAGCTCTTGTATAAAAAAAAAAAAAATTCAAGATGGTGACAGTAGAGCCCAGGGCCCTTGTAAGCATGGACCCTGTGTGGCTGCCCTTGAAACCAGCCCTTATCCCAGCAGATGCTAGTCCAAAGTGCAACATCTGGGACCTAGAGGACCTGCTTTGTTTGTGTGAGAAGGTCACAGCATAGGAATTGCTGAGGTGAGACAGTCTGGAAAGGATGAAAGGAAGCAGAAAAAGGTGGATATAGAGGACCAGACAAATTGTTAGAATAGATTCTTGTTTTAAATAGCTGAAATAAATTTGTTTTAGCATTAAGGAAAAAGACAATGATAACTCAACTCTACCTAGCTGGGGGCCCAAATTAGGGTTCTTTTCTTTTAAAAATATTCTTATAACTAATTTAAATCCTTATCAGTAGTAATGATAAGGATTGTCCAACAGCAGAAAAAGTCCCTTATAAAAAAGAAAAAGAGGTAAATCGAAAATTGATGTGAAAACCCTACTTGTAAATTGCAAATATTTGATTTCCTTTAATTCTGATTGTATGCATTAAGAAATTCAAGTAATTCACTGTGTATGTCTAAATGAGTTAAAAAGCAAAGCATTTTCAGATTCAATTTTCATACATCTTTTAAGTAGTTTACAGATTTCCACTTCATCATTCTTGTCCTTGAACTTGTGAAAAAAAAAATGCACACACATTTTAAAAAAAAATGATTACTCAACTGATTTAGAAAAGCAATTCTTATACTTTTTTCCTTTTAAATGTCTTTTAATTTCCAGAGACCTGGATGCTAAATGGCACTGCCAGGATGTCTAAGGCTGAGTTAGTGAATTCACCAACTTGAGATTTGTTAAATGGTTTGACTTCCATAATTGGTTTAAATATATCTTTCTTTGCTGCTTTATTCTCTTAGAAACCCTCAGTAGGTTGTGGGGGAATAGGAGACTTTGTGGAGCTGCTGGGAGGAACTGGTTTGGACCCTTCCAAGATGATGCCATTAGCTGATCTCTGCTCTCCCTTTCACGGGCCTGGTGAGCTGTTTCTTTGATTATTATGTATATACAAATTTATTTCTGTAAGGAACACATCTCAATTTTTTTAATATAGATGGGATGGCAAGACCCCCCCCCAAAAAAAAAAACCCATCCAGTCTTGCCCATTGAGTCAGTGTGAGGAGTTTATACTTGAGCCTATGTGCAGTATCAAGAATGTATTACCATGGTGGCAATACTGAATGGGGGTATCCACATATTATTTCAATTAAAACTATATCAATTAATTTAAAAACAATGTGTTTGTTAGCAAAATATTTGACATTGGGGAAGAAACCTATTTTGTAATGAGCATGTGTTAGTCATAAATAAGACTGTGAAAAAGACAAAGCTTTTTTACTCTCTTTCTACCTTTTTAGAGGTCCTTGCTTTCATCCTCTAGAGATCAAGAATTGGTTAACTTAGTGAAAATTACAGTTCAAATAATAGATGATTCAGCAATTAGTAATAGTGTAATAATGAAGTAATATCAAAATAACTTTTTCAAATATATGTAGTTGTATGTGTTACTCTTAGTAAATAAGCAAAGAAGTGATATGTGTTGTTAGACATTGTCAGAACTGCTGAATGCTCCCAACTTCTACCAGCAAAAACAGCATCTGAAAGGTTACTTCAACACAGAACAAAATTCTGAAATCTGAAAATGGTTACTGGTAATAAGACTAATTAGTGCAGGGCATGCCAAGCAGAACCAGATTTTCTTTGTTAGGAACCAGTAAGGCTTTTCCACTTGATTATCCTCAGGTGGGGTGAGAATGGGTGGGGATTGCTGGTCTCATGACCAATTAACAAAGTCCAAGGGGAGAGGAAGAGGACTACATAAAACATTCCTATAAACATAACTCCCATATCAGTACTTCAGAGGCATGAATTAGTCTGTTTTTAAAGAGACAAAAGAAAATAGAAGAGGAAGTAAAGCAGTCTCTAATATCATGGCTAATTCTTATCATGGATCCCTTCCTCTCTGGAAACCACAGAGCACTAACCAATTAGGTAATGAAGCTGCAAGTCAGACACTCCTTTGGACCAGCTGTTACCGGTTGTAATTAAAACCATCCAGGGCCTCCCCTGGTGGTGCAGTGGTTGAGCGCTAGAGCCTCTGCAGCACCAGCTCGATCCGTGGGCCACCAGCGAGGGTCTCACATGGCGCAACAGACTTCTCCTGCTCCGCCCGCTGCTCCCCTCAGCAGTGTATTTTGTCAGTCTACCTGTTCTGTTCCCGGCTCTGGCTCTGGTGAATTCTCTCACCCTCCTGCACTTCTGACTGTACCCAGTGCCTGTATAAATAAATAAAAAATCTAAAAACAAACAACAAAAAAAAGAAGTAAGCCCTAGGGGGAAAAAAAAAATAAAACCATCCCTGTCCACTAGCTAATGCAGGGGACTTCACAAATGATACGTCTCTGAAATAAAGTTAGCGTGCACATGTAAACACTAAGGGCCATTTGTATTCTGCTAACTGGAACACATACACTACTACTGTATAAAGAAGCATTTCAGATGAGATGTGAGCAGGGCTGGGCCCAGGACAAGCTTTCTAAATAAGGTTATGGCAAAAAGTTTCTAAAAACCCACTTTGCTGAAAACTTGGGATTATTGTTATTATTATTTATTTATTTATTTTTTGCTGACTTACCCTTGAGCACTACTCTAAATTGTCAGTGCACATGACTCTTCTTGTCTTTTCATGTGCTCTCTTGAGGCTCTGGAAACTTCTATGAGGATAGGGCATAACTCTGAGGAGATGTGTGCAAGCTGGGTAAAGACTATGCCTGCCTTAAATTTTAGATAATTGAAGTGAGGGTAATTTTGGTGCTTGACTTATAAGACTTGAATTATGTAACAGGGTGAGACTAAGGCCAAAAAAACACTTTTCCCTAAATTATCTAAATAACTGAAACCAGTCAAGATAATTTGAAGCCTTGATTATATGATTCATTAGTTTTAGAATTTATGTTTTTCTTTCATTCATCCATGTTTCTATGAGCCCCTCCTAAGTTATTCAGATAACAAAGAACTATTGGGGACCCTGTCCTTCAAATTAGATTTCATTGGGAGTTATGTCAAATTAAACAACATGCACATTAACTGAAGGAAATGGGGTGTGTTAGGTAAAGTTTGGAGTCAGACCAGAAAAAGAATGACCTTCCAAATCATGTAAAGGAAATTAAGTATGGGCCTCTTGTAGAAGCTTAACCTAAGCTTAACTTAGACTTCTTAGTGCGAAGATTAAAATAATTACGGAGTTTATTATGCCTCCAAACTGCCTTCTACCTCAATAATGCTATCTGACTGATTTACTTCATTGAAATGTGGGCATGTGTTTGTGAAGTACTTGTTATATAATGATAATGCTAGTGTTTCTCAGAACTTAGTCCTTACAGAGACAAAGCAGTTGGGGCGAGTGGGGGGGGGGCTGATAAAATTAAAATATAAGAATGTATTGTTGTAGGGCAGATAAATCTTGCCCCTAGAATCATCTTGAGAGTGAAGAAATAAAATAAAAGTAATTTTTAAAACAAAAATAATAGGAATTTCAATATATAGCAGCCAAAGTACACCTGCACTAGAAGTACATAAGCATTGCAGATGCTTATGAAGATAATGAGTAAGATTGCACTTAAATAAAAATATTAAAAGCCATTCCATGCAAGAAACAAAAGAAAAAAGTGAGAAAATGTGCAGTGGACAATAGAACAGAAATAAATATACTCAGTGTATATCTAAACCATGCAAATTATTTTTTTGTTCATATATAAAGTAGGATTATTATTCTATTAGAAAAAAATAAACAGGTGGATTTGGGGGTCTACATAAATGTCCTGCAGTAAGCTCCTCTGGTCCTGCCCAACTAAATGCCACTTGCACCCCTAGATATAACCACAACCAAAAACTAACCTTGCAAATTTCCAGCCTGTCCTAGAGGGCAGTACTGCTCCCACTGAGAACACTGAAGCCAGCACACTCCTTGCCTTTTTCGGCCTTTATCATCAGAACCTGGCAGATAGAGGAACATGAAACCAGCCAGGACACATCTTGTTGCTTCCTATGGCTAACAGTGTTCTTGTCCATGAGGAGAGGACTGGGTTCAATTTCACTATTCTGCAATGAGTTATGTGTTAAACTAGGAATGAAAACAGAAATGTGTCATCTGCTGGCAAGATGCATGGTTTGTCATTTGATTTGTGTTTAAATGATCTTGTCCACAGAAATGGTTCGACTGTGTGGTTTCTAACATATTGGAACACTTTTACTCTTTCCATGAATTTTAGCCCAAATGAAAATTGGCTGTGACAACACAGTGGTGCGCATGGTCTCGAGTGGAAAACACATAAATCGTGTGACTTTTGAGTACCGCCAGCTGGAACCATATGAAGTGGAAAACCCAAATGGAAACAGTATCCAGGAATTCTGTTTGTCTACTCTTTGAACCACCAACCCACTGATTTACATACTGCCAGCTAAGAGAGTTTAAATAGCTATTATATGATTTTGATGCCAGCTAGTTATGTCTTTCATGCCAGTTAGTATTCCCAGTCTACACACACACACACACACACACACACACTTACACATGCACATTAATTTCTGTACTTTTTCTTTTTTTCATTTGTAACATATTCGTGATCACAAAGAAAAAAATAAGTCCCCTTTTTGTAGAAAAGCAATTTTCTGCAATTCTTTGGTATGCTACAAACCTGCATGGATAAGACACATGCAAGCAATGTGGCAATAAACAACAGTATCTCACGGGAAATACAACAAAGAAATAAAAAATGGTGGCATTCATATAAGTTTTATAACAGAAAACAATGTCTTGTTTGTTCACAGTAGTTGCATCTATTTTTTGTTTATAAATCTGTTTATAATAGGAATAGTCACAGCTTTATTTCTTGATTAGTAACAGCTTGTTTTTAACAAAGTTTTTAACAAACTTTCCATCTACAATACGAACACGAATAAACACAGTCAGAATGTTGGCACATTGACATCGTGCTTCGTTTGCTTTCCTGAGTAGTCTTCTCCCTATTGCCAGCAGAAAACCAAGTCCTCTAAACAAATATCACATCCTTATGTTGTAAACCTGAGACTAATGTGATATTTCGTGTCAATTATATCTCAATAAAGAATGCATTGCAAGAGCAAAGAATGTCTTCATGTGATACAGAACCAAATGGTGAATTTTAAATGTTCTAAAGAACAAGAGAAACCTGTGGACCAAATACCTAAAGAATTCTGGGTCAATGAAGTAGAATCATTCAGAGAGAAGGCAGAATCACAGCACTGGCACAAACAACTCTAACTGATTGGCTTCAATAAGGAAGTGAGATGTAGGATGCAAGGAACCTTTTTCCACTGCCTGACAACTCTCAGACACAACCAGAGTACTTCTTTGGTACTAACAGCAGTTGAGTGTTGAGTGAGCCTTGCCTATATGTGGCTTAAGACTAAATCCACTAAAGATTTCAGAATAAGACTCCCTGTTCTGGGAATAAATAAATGAATAAAGGTCTGCTTTATACCAGTCTTCTCAAACTGGGTTGCGTCTTTAGTATTAGTTTAAAATATTCATTGGTGGGCCTCCCTGGTGGCACAAGATGTTAAGTAACGCACTATGAAGCTATCCACAGCCTCTGCAACGCGAGTTCGATCCTCGGCCCTCCAGGGAGCAACCCACATGGCAAAGCTGACCTCTCCTGTCTCGCCCGCTGCTCCCCTCAGCCGTGTATTTCAATCTACCTGTTCTGCTCTCCCCACCCCTGCATCTCTGGCCTATACCTCAGGTCTTGTATGCATAAATAAATCTTTAAAAAATATATTCATTGGCTAATTTGGCTGCAAAGCTCACAATAATATTTAATATTTCTGCTTTTGCATTGAACTATTTATTTTTGTCTTTTAATACATGAGGTTCTTTTTTACCTGCTGTGGAGTTTTTCCTTAGAGATGAAATAAATTTACACAGAGCAAATTTTGGTGACAAAGATTCTTCCAGATTTCTTCCAAATTTCTTCCAAATTCCAAAGGAATTTCTTGCTATTTTACTGGGGAGGCAATGCTGCCAGAACTTCCCTGCAAAGAGGAATCTTCATGAAAGAAAAAGACTTAATGGGTAGGGTTTACTGATAGGCAGTTTGTTCATGTGCTTAACAACACCTAATAGAGTTGCAGACAGGAGCTTCTATTATAGGGTATTCACATGAAATTATATCTGAATATATTGTTATCAATGCTGTGGACTATTTCAGATAAATGCCTCTATGTTCAAATAAGCAGATTGAACAGCCTCATTCCTAATGGATCATTTGTAATGATTACCATCCATTTTTCTTCTTCACATGTTAAGATAAACTGTATAGGGCCTCCCCAGTGGCGCAGCAGTTGAGCACTGGGTTGTGAAGCTGCCTGCAGCCTCTGCAGCGCCGGTTCGATCCCCGGCCGCTGGGCGAGGGTCCCACATGGTGCACAGACCTCTCCTGCTGCCCGCTGCTCCCCTCAGCAGTGTATTTCATCGGTCTGCCTGTTCTGTTCCCCGCTCTGGCTCTGGTGAATTCTCTCACCCTCCCGCGCTTCTGACTGTACCAGTGCCTGTAGAAATAAATAAAAATAAATCTTAAAAAAAAAAAAGACTACTGTATTTAAAAAAAAAAAAAGATAAACTGTATAAAGAGATAAAACAGAGGAACCAAATAGGACATTTGGGCAAGAGAAGAAAACTTGATGAGAGGGTTTGAAGATATAATGAAAATCAAGATCTCCAATTTGGACTCTGGGCTTTGCTCCAATTTGGACTCAGTCTTGCTGCAGCTAAAAAATTGAAAATGATAAAATGTTTTATGCTTGAAGAAGGCTGGATGTCTATACTAGGACATATGACAGGAAGAGCAACATAGAACCTCAATCTTTGTAACTAGATGGGTTATCATGTTAGCACAACAGCGAGGGTATCCAGAGCCCCCAAATAAATGGGGGTACTAGCTCTAAAATGGGGTCCTGACATCTGCCAAATAAAGACAATGGTAATAGATTTGGTGGGAGAGATCTTTAATATAGTTAGTGTGTATAGCGAACAAAGAGAAGAGAAGATAGTAGTGTACCAATAAAACACCCCAAATTACCCATCCCTTTGTGGGTATATGCTTAGCAAAACAGGGTCAGCCTGAAATGGGGCCTCTGAGGCCTGAAAGCTTGCCATAAATCTAAGCCACCTTCTGGTGGGGAACTGTAAGAAAAGGGTTCTGAAGCAGGTCCCAGAATGTTGGGACTAGAGGAGATTCCAATTCAAGATGACAGCTGCCATTGTCACCCTCCTCATGCGTCCCTCACCCATGTGTCTCTTTCGAGTGTCTCTATATGTCTCTCTGCCACATGTCTCCTTCCATATCTCCTTCCCAGCAGGACCAGGATGCAAATTGGGTTGCAAGAACAAGAGGTATCCCCTTAGCCCAGCTGCCTCAGTGTTACATATTTTCACCTGACTGCTCAGCTCTGCCCATGGGTCACAGTAGCAAGTCCAAGGCAGTGACATGTAAGTGTGTGTGTGTGGAGGGAGGGGGGTCATGATACCTCCCCTATGGTCAGATATTGGAGTTTCTCAGTAAGAAGATGGATTTCCCTTCCTTCTCCAGATTTCTAAAGTATAAGAAACTGTCTCCTGTGCTTTTCGTGGGTCGGATGTAATCAAGTCCAGTGCACAAGCAAAGTATGTGGTGCAATTTGAGGGGCAGTAGAAGATCCACTTAACTGAAAACATCACCAAAATTACACCCCCTTTTTACTTTTACTCCTTAAGACCCTTTTGTAATTAAACAAATAATTCAGGATTACTTTATTGTTTTAAAAGATTCAAACTAGACAGAGTTAACTATTTAAAGAACTTACAAATAAGTTAATTAATTTAACTTCATAAGGCATGACTAATTACAATGTGTCATAGACTTGACAGGTATGTTTGTATGAAGGAGCGTGTAGTGGGTGAAATTAAGAATATGAGATGCTGAGGAAATAGATTCAGATGATTGCCCCTTTAAGGCTTCTGGGAAAGCCAGCAAAGAACTGATGCTACCTCTAGCTATCTGGAGGTCTCCATAGGAAAGCAAAAAGAAAGCTTTGTGCTGTCAAAGACAAACTGGGTATACTTGCTTACAGTCTCCTAAGACCAGCTCGAAATGTGATCTTGCCTGTGTAGAATGGATGGGATCAGAGAGATAAAGCTTTAGAATCAAGACCTAGTCCTGGGAATACAGGCATTGGAACAGAGTGAGAATAAACCAGACTTCTGAACCAGCCCTGGGGTTGGATTCTAACTCGACGGTTAACCACCTGTGTGCCCATGAGCATGTCACACTCCTGTCTAAGCATCAGCTTCCTCACGTGGAAGGACTACGCCCCACTCTAGGCACTTGGCAGAGACTCTAAATGAGTTTCCCTTTCCCGGAAAAGTTGTTCATCAAGACTGCAGTAATATGATGTCCCCTTAAAATGCTACCACGAGGTTTTTATTTAAAGGAAATAAGAGGAGACTCTTACAAATGATAATTTATTTGGTAAAAGAAAGTAACTGAACATCAAATTGTCAGATCTCTATATTTCAAATAGCCTCTCATCTACAGTATTTACTCATGAATTCATTAATATGGGTGGGCCATTCACAAGGTTGTTAAGTGGCAGCTTAACTTTGCCATCTGCTCTGTGAAAGCCATCTCTCCCCTTCCCCATCATGTCTGGCCTAACTTATAGGTACCTGTCCCCACCTTCCCGGTGAAAACAACTTGCTTACATTGAGTGCCTCTTTTTTTTTAAGCTTTGTTTATTTATGCATACAAGAACTGGTGTACAGGCCAGAAGTGTGAGTGCCTCTTAAGAGACACTGAAGAGGGCCTCCCTGGTGGCGCAGCGGTTGAGCGCTGGGTTGCGAAGTTGCCCGAAGCCTCCGTGGTGCCGGTTTGATCCCTGGCTGCTCCCGGCCACCGGAGGAGGGTCCCAGATGGCGCGCAGACCTCTCCTGCCTCCTGCTGCTCCCCTCAGCAGTGTGCTTTGGTCCTTCTGCCTGCTCTGCTCCCCGCTCTGGCTCTGGTGAATTCTCTCACCCTCCCGCGCTTCTGACTGTACCCAGTGCTTGTATAAATAAATAAATAAATCTTTAAAAAAAAAAAAAAAGAAAAAAAGAGAGACACTGAAGAACCACCCCAGCGTAAAAGGTAGTAAAGGATGAGACTGGTGTCATTTTCTTTAAGGCTTCAGGTTAAAAACAAAACAAACAAACCAACAAACCTATATTTAAGATGGACAGACATAAAGAAAATATTTGGTTTTAGTCTTAACAACAAAAGCTAATATTTATTGAACCTTTAATATCTTTGTTGCATGGTTCCAGAGACTTCCCACAAATTAAAACATTCAAACTTATCTCCATTTTACAGATGGAGAAGCTGAAGCAAAGAGAAATTAAATGAAGTGGCCTCAAATTATACAGAGCAGAGAAGAACCAGGACTCAGACCCCAGTGATCTAACCTTGGAGCTTTGTTGCTCTCCTGCTAGAGATGTTACTAGAATAAAATAGGAAATATTGCTTTCACAGAGGGTTTCCACTATCCTAGCAGTGACATTGAAAGCTTTTGGGTTCTTATTCCTTTAGCAAAACATACCATACCACTTCAATTGAATTTAGGGTATTTGTCTGAGACTTGTAACAAATCAATCACAATTCTAAGGCTCAGAAAGGTCAAAGGCAATGGTTAATTTTATGTGTGAGTGTCAACATGGCTAGTCTACTGTACACAGATATTTGATCGAAAATAGTATATTAAACCCATAGATATTGAGTAAAACACCCCATAAGGTGGGTGGGGCTCATCCAGTCAATGAAGGTAAAAAGACAGAGGTCTCGTGAGCAAGAGTGAACATCCTATTGGTTCTATTTTGTTTTGGAAAACCTTGTCTAACACACCAAATAATGTTCTTTATTTTTGCTGAAAATCTTTCTCTCAGATCCAGCTGTAATATGCTGTTGTTAAATCCCTCCTTACCAATGAAAGATCTGAGGAGATTATAACTTTGTTTTCTTTCTCGCTACAGTCCTGTGTGACACACTGCTTTTAATCAAACTGCCTTTCACATAAGAAGCCCAAAAGGCAAAGGAATGGACACCAACAAATTCATTAGCACCTTCCCCTCATCACCTCAGTCCACGTACCTGAGAACCAGGTAGCCAGATGGCAAGGGCCAGAACAAAGCCCAGTTCTGATTAAAATAAACTATCTCTGAAAAGGAAATCCAAAGTGAAAATGGTTGTGAGATGTCATTGTCCCATTTTTAGGAGGAACTGTAGGAAGAACAGCCAACAGTTAGCAGAAATTTAAGATTGTGCCTACGTCAATTCCAAGCAATATTCTATTTATAACCCATGCTAATTAAGTGTTATCACTTAACATTCATGATTAACAAAGGTTTTCTGGCTATTGTCAAATCTCAAGTGAATGGCTTTTAGTTTCCTTCATTTCTTCTCAATGAAACCAATTTGGAAGTCTCTTTCAAAGCAACATCTTTAATTGGAAAGCATTCCCTCATGCATGAAAGAACAATGTGTTTCCTCAGGTCATTGATGAGATGTGATCTATCCTGGCTTGCAGAAACATCTGGAATGTCACGATGTAATAAGGCAAGTACAGAACATTATGGAAGAAAAAGAACTCACAGATTCATTTAAAAATGTAATACATTTAAGAATGAAGGAGAGGGTCATTAAAATATAAAGCTCAAGAGATGGATCTAACAGCAGATTACACAAACTGAGAAAATCTTTTCTGAAAGAATTTCAGAGATATGAAGGATAGAATGGATGCATTGACATGCATTTGTGAGGACCATTAGATATTAGGTCTTTTGATTTTTCCTCCTTATAAAAGATGAGTATTCTCAAAAATTTGCAAAGTTATAAAATAATTCTCTTGAAAATTGCTATCTGAAAATGTGATGTCCATAAAACTGCTGTGAACCTCTGATCACTTTTATGAATTAAATGAATGTAAGTGAACAAAATAGTAATTGAAGGCAACCCCTCAGTTACAGACTGAATGCTTGTGTTTGCTTGCAAATTCATATGTTAAAATCCCAGCCCCTAAAAGATTGGAACTTTGAGGCTAGGTCTTTAGAAAATAGGCCTGATAAAACTCCCTTGCCCCTTCCACTCTATGAGGACAGCAAAAATAATGGCCATCTAGAAAGTGGGTTCTCAGCAGACATCAAATCTGAATCTGCCAGTACTATGATCTTTGCTTTTTCCAGGCTACAGATGGTGAGAAATAAGTGTTTTTGATAAGCTACCCAGTTGATAACATTTTTGTTATAGCAGTCCAAGTAGACTAAGATTTGATCCATCTGCTAATTCCCCTAGTAGGTAGTTTTGGTTTTTATTCTTAAATAAGCTAGTAAAGTACCTACCTCAATTTCATATTCCATTCCTTTATGTATGTAGATTTTAATTTAATTGATATTAAAATTTTTGCATTAACATTTTCTTTGAGTCCCAGAATTGACCTCATCTCTATATAATATTAATCTATTTTTACCAAGTATTTATA